AATCTCGCCCTCACTGAGCTGCCTTCTTTGCAGAAACCCCTGCAAAGTATAACAAACATGATCAGTGGCTCCTGTATCTACTACCCAAGAACTGGCAGAACAAGCCGCAAATCATGTTTCGACAACTAAAGCAAGAGACGTACCAGGAGCGTCCTTCAGGGGACAATCTGACTTCCAATGTCCTGTCTTGTTGCACTTGAAGCACTTGCCTTTCGGCTTCACCACGCCACCAGAAGGCGCTACTGCTTTGCTCCCACCACTCCCACTGCTCCCACTGGTTCCACCACTCGTTTTCTGCACTTGCTTTTTCTTCTTCCCGCCTTTCGACGAAGAAGGTCCAGCTTGTACAGAAACATGAGCTTGTGGTCCCCTTCCCATAAGACCCTCCGCTGCAACCAAGTCCGTAAGAAGCTCGGCTAAAGTATAGCCCTTCTTATTCATGATTGAATTCAGGTGGAAGTTCTCATAGGACTTCGGGAGCGAGTGCAGGATGATATCGATCTTGGCTTCGCCATCGATATTTCCTCCGAGCACATCTATCTCATTCAGATATTCCATCATCTTGGGAACACGCTCTCGCACAGAAGCTCCCTCTGGCATGACAGAAGACATAATTTTCCTCATAGCCTCAAATCGAGCAGCCCTATCTTGCTCACCAAAGAGTTCCTTGAGGCTCAACATCATGTCAGCAGCAGTAGGCATGGTGTGATGCTGCTGTTGCAAAACATTTGACATAGATGCCAATATGTAGCAACGAGCCATCTCATCAGCCTTATGCCACTTCCGATGAGCCTCCCTTTCCTCTTCAGTGGATTGGGCGCTCAAAGGAGCAGGAGCAGGAGTGGTGAGCACAAACTTGTACTCATCAGAAATAAGGACAATATCCAGATTTCTCTTCCAGTCCAAATAATTTGGACCAGTAAGCTTGTTTTGATTGATAATTACCATAAGTGGATTGAATGACATGACGAATAACTGAAATAAATAATTGCAAACACGTAAGCAACAATTCACATAAATATGAAGCATAAAATATGGAAACCTTCAAAAAACCATTATTTAATGCAACCTTCGACAACT